AAATTTCAGAAAAATAAATTGACTATTGAGATACCCAAGAGAAATGGGTTGAATATGAGAAATTTGACCTAGGGTGGTCGGCGGTCCAAAAAAGGAGTATAGAACCTGTACCGGGTGTGAAATTATCGGTACCGGAAAGAGACTCGTTTTGAAAAATGGAAAGTTTGGTCTCGACAAGAAAAATGTGGGGAACATGGAACCACTTAAATTAAGTGTTAAACTTAATTAGAATTAGTAAAATTAAATTATGGGAATTAAAGTAATTTCTTTAATTTAATTTGGAAAGTAATATTAAGATATTATTAGAAATATTAATATAATATTCTATTACTCTTCAAAATGGCCTACGGATGACATTAGAAGCCAAAATGGGTTTCTTTTCCTAAGTAGGGCCGAGAGAATAGAAAAAAAGAGGGAAAAGAGAGAAAATCAAGGGAAAATCAAGGAATCACCCGTTTTTGTCAAAATTTCTTCCATTCAGTCCGGTAGAAACATAACCTGAGGCGTTCTAGTGGAGAAACTCAACTTTTCAAGGTAAGATTTCGGATTTTTGATGAGAAACTGCATGCTTTTTCATTTTGATGAATAGTAACTCATCTCGGGAAAAATCCGTAAAACTGAAAAACGAAACCGAGGTTTTGTTGGGGACTATAATAGGAGTCTAACGTGTAAGTATTGAAACGATTGAACAAATTTTTTTGGATTAACACTAAAAATCCGAAATACACTAGAAATGGAGAAAAAGTGTTGTTGTTCATTTTATGTTGAAATTTGTGTTCAGGAATGTGAATCTGGACTACAGGTACCGAAATCGGAAGTAGAACGAGTTATTGAAAACTCGAGAAACTAGAAAAAACAAGGCAAAACTCTGCCGAAGTTTCTAAAACCTAGTTAGTAAGTATTGAGTTAAGAATTCGACTCTCGAGAATGAGTAACAGTTTTAAAGCTCGGAAGTGAATAGATTACGATTCGAAAACCGAGATACACGAATAGGTGTAATTTGCCTCTTGAGCTAGAATTCGGCCTAGAGGGGTTAAGTTCAAAAATGAGTTGAAATTGGATTTAGGAATCCAAGTATGAGAAATTTTGATGCTTGCAATAGGCGGTTAATACCTATTTCCATGAAACAGGTTTTGGCACGAGAGCTGAAGCAACGAGACAGAACTTCCAGCAAGCGGGAATCCTAGCGGATTAACGGTAAGTATAGACATTTATGTTTGTCTGGACTCGAGTAAGCTGTAGTTAGACTTAGAACTATAAATTTACTTATGTTCCTAAGTCTATGTGATTACATGTGATTATACGTATTTGGAGGGCTTAGTGCTCCAGATTACAGAATGGTGACATATGGTTACCCTTATGCACAGTTAAAGTATGCAAGAAGTATTATGCATTTTATGTTATCATGTGCACATAGAGAAACGTTGCAGATCATTCAGTAAAGAAAAAGACTGACGGGTCGTCGGCCTCCGTAAGGGAGGGAAATCTCACAGAGTAGAGATACTGACTAGACCAGACAGTAATAAATGACTAGTAAAGTAAAAGACTGACGGGTTGTCAGCCTCCGCAAGGGAGGAAAATCTCAAAGAGTAGAGATTCCGACTAGACCAGACAGTTGTTGGAAATGTGTCCATAAAGTAGGGTGTAATTTGTTATTTATGAAATGGCAAATGTCGGACGTCATTATTTTACTGAGGTTTATAAATAAAATAAAGTTATGTTTTGATTCATACTCAAGAGTGTTAGTAATATTGCTTAGTCCATAGACTGTTATCAACGAAAGAAGAGTCAGGGAATCCCTGCCGGACAAGCTCTTTTGGTATAGTTTAAAATTGATATTCGCAGTCTTAGGATCGATTGGGCAATCGAATCTGATTATGACTGTTAGATCGAACCATGTGATGCTTGTCTCGGGGCGTGGGAGTTGGACTCTGTGGTTGATCTAGACATGTTCACAACATGTTGATTAGACCTTGTAACTAATTAGATTAGAGCAAAAACCGTTTACAGAGCTCTAAACCTAATTATTACAACCTAAGTATATTTGCGTAATTATCTCAATCCTGAAGTGAATACATAACTCGACTTAATTTCTCATAGTCTTTGATTCACCAATGAGATTAGTTCATAATTTTTGAACAACATCTCGGCTATTGGGATCATGACATAATT